ATAGCCCCAGACCCCCTTAGCTACAAATCTGAGACCTCAAAATCTCTGAAACTGAAAATCTTGGATTTTATCCCATAAATTTAGTGCAAACTCATTTGGCAGCAAAAGCTGACCTGAACTAATGAGGGGCTAGTTAAAGTCTTTATATATGCCACTTAGTTAAATATTCATCCGTGTTGCTGTAGAAATGTTAATGAGTTTGATGATGAGGTTGTGCCCCAGACCCTGCCTGCGCCTGCGATGGTTGCAAACTGCATGATGTATGCGCAGATTTACTGCCTAAAAATGTGAAATGGGTCGGGTGCGGTGGCTCACGCCTGTTACCCCAGCACTTTGGGAGGCAGAGGCGGGTAGATTGCTTGAGCCCAGGAGTTCAAGACCAACCTGACCAACATGGCGAAACGTCTCTACTAAAAATACAAAAATTAGCCAGGTGTGGTAGTGGGCGTCTGTAACCCCAGCTACTTGACTGCTCAGGAGACTGGGGCACGAGAATCGAGAATCGCTTGAACCAAGGCAACGGTAGCCTAGATCACGTAACTATGCTCCAGCCTGGGTAACAGAGTGAGACACTGTCTCAAAATAAAAATAAAATGTGGAATTTTCCGAATCCTGAGACACTTCTGGCCCCAAGGATTTTTTTTTTTTTTTTTTTTTTAGACAGGGACATGGGGTTTTGCTCTGCCGCCGGGCTGGAGCACAGTGGCCTGACCTTGGCTCACTACAACCTCTGCCCCCTGGGTTCAAGCAATTCTTCTGCCTCAACCTCCCAACTAGCTGGGACTGCAGGTGCCTGCCACCACCCCCGCTAATTTTTGTATTTTTAGTAGAGACGGGGTTTCACCATGTTGGCCAGGATGGTCTCGATCTCTTGACCTCGTGATCTGCCTGCCTCAGCCTCCCAAAATCCCAAAGCTGGGATTATAGGCATGAGCCACCGTGCCCGGCCTGGCCCCAGGGATTTTAGATAAGATGCCGTAGACGGTGTAAGGTCATCTTGTTTGAGCTTCTATGTAATGAACTCATTATTGAATACTGCCCACACTCCCTTGGGAATATTATTGTCCATTTTGTGTTTCTTCTTTTTTTTTGAGACGGAGTTTCACTTTGCTGCCCAGGCTAGACTACAGTGCCTTGGTGCCATCTCGGCTCACTGCAATCTCTGCCTCCCAGGTTCAAGCAATTCTCCTGTTTCAGCCTCCCGAGTAGCTGGGATTATAGGCACTTGCCAGCACGTCCGACTAATTTTTTGTATTTTTAGGGGAGACAGGGTTTCACCACGTTGGTCAGGCTGGTCTTGATCTCCTGACTTCAGGTGATCCTCAGCTGATCCTCGGCCTCCCAAAGTGCTGGGATTACAGGCATGAGCCACCGTACCCCGTCCTGTCCTTCATTTTCCAAGGAAGGAAACAGAGGCTCAGAGAGGGGACGTGACTTGCCTGAGATCACACAGCTCGGAAGGAGGCAGCGACTGGCTTCCCATCCAGCAGGCCTGGCTCCAGAACCCATGTCCCAAGCCTTGGCACTAACTTCTGACTCTTGTTTTATAGAATAATACATGGATTCGAGACCACGAGGACAGCAGGTCTATAAATTTGGGGACCCCAGGCCCATCCAGCGGGGGCCTGGCCTCCCAGAGTGGGGACAACTCCAGTGACCAAGGTGAGAATCTTAGGAGGTGGAGGGGAAACAGGGAAGTCAACCAGAGGATTGAAGGTAGATCACAGGTAGTACTTCCAGAGGGGCAGAGATGCCTGGGGTGTGGAGTGCTGTCCTGGGGGAGAGTTCTGGGGCCCTCTGGTCCCCCACTCTTCACTGCCCTCCCTCAGGAGATGGGCTGGACACCAGCGTAGCCTCTCCCAGTTCTGGTGAGGAAGGTGAGGACTTGGACCAGGAGCGACGGCGGAACAAGAAGAGGGGGATCTTCCCCAAGGTGGCCACCAACATCATGCGAGCCTGGTTGTTCCAGCACCTCTCGGTGAGAGCCCTGCTGCCCGGGTGCAGGGTGGGCGTGGGGAGATGGAGGAGGGTGGGCCACAGAGACTGGGACCCAGAGACACCCAGAAATGGGACACTGAGGCAGCGGGAAATTTTTCGAGAGACTCTCACAGACGTGGAGAATTGTGACAGGAGCCGGCAGCAGTGAGTGCCACCTGTGTGCAGGTGCTGCTCGGGACACTTCACTCACTAAGTCTGTCCCACGAACCATCCATCCGTCCATTAACCCACCCATCAGTCATCCACCCAACGTACCCTTGGAGGGAGGGGCTACTGTTATCTCCTTTTAGCAGATAAGGAGGAGACGGAGGAACAGAGAGGTTAGGAGACTTGCGTAAGGTCACACAGCCAGAAGTGGATTCAAAGGCAGGCAGTCTGGCCTTAACTACTGCACCACACTGCCTCAAGGACAGAGGAGAAAAACAGAGCCAGGAACAGAGGGACACAGAGATTTGGGGAGGACCAAGTCAGAGGAAGATAGAGACAGGGAGAGGCTGAGTCACAGAGGTACAGAGACAGACAGAGACTTGGAGGCAGGGAGGGACCGAATCCCAGAGAGAGAGAGAGAGAGAGATACAGAGACACACATAGAGTGAGACAGAAAATGTGAGAGCCACAAAGAGAGAAATGGAGAGCCAGACACAGTGGCTCACATCTGTAATCCCAGCACTTTGGGAGGCCAAGGCAGGAGGATCGCTTGAGCCCAGGAGTTCGAGACCAGCCTGGGCAATATAGTAAGACCCTGTCTTAAAAAAAAAAAAATTAGCCAGGCATGGTGGTGCACACCTGTCATCCCAGCTACTCAGGAGGCTGAGGCTGGAGGATTGATTGACCCATGGAGGCTGAGGCTGCAGTGAGCCATGAAGATACCACTGCATTCCAGCCTGAGTGACAGAGCGAGACCCTGTTTCAAAAAAAAAAAAAAAAGAGAAATGAAAGAAAAAAAAAAAAAGAGAAATTTATGGGGAG